ATTTTAAAATTCGAACACAATTCCTGTACCGAAAATAAACGTTGTGCTTAGGTTTTATTTCAAATTTAAGAAATTTTAAAAATATTAAAAAATGTATTTTATGATTAATATGAGTATGGTTACTGCAGTCGTTGTAATAAAAGTACAGTAGGTATAATAATATATTCAACGCGTTCGTGTTAATAGAAGTGTCCTGGTTGGTCCAGCGTTCGTTTGCATTTTGAGTAAACCCCTAAATGTATTATTACCTACAAATTATTATTTCAGATGGTACCGCAAGCGTGTGTCACCTTGCCTATGATAATATTATTGATACGCCTAATATTATATATATTATTATACCGTTGTGTTTTCGCTGCCAAAGGTAATTCGAAATTCGGAGCTTTAAAATAAAATGTATACATACAGGACCTTTTAAATTTTATTTGACAAAAATGGTGGAAATCATATAAGAACAGACATAATCTACACTATATTTTTGTCACATGTAATTTTGTAGATTTCGTATATACTATATCTTGTATAATAACCGATGTTTTCAGGCAACGTAAATATTGTAAAACGTGTTAGTGAAAAATAATAAAAATAATCGAAATATTATATTACAATTACTAAACGCCAATAGTAATTGTTTTTATATGCTTGAGAATTTGTTTTCAATATTCAGTAATTATGTACCCACAAACATAATAATATGATTTACTCAATGCATCACAAAGACTCGTATTACAAATATAAAGATAATAATAACTTATTGTAAAGATATATCTTAATTATTTTTCACAGTGAGCATCGAATTTCGAATATTCCTTTATACATGTCATTTGCGCTGAAAACGAATGGTAACAGACCGTTTAAAAGAGTAAAATGTGTGCAATATTATACTTTTGTAAAGTAGTGAAACAATATACACGATATTACGATATTATTGTTTTTGGTGTTTTCGATGATGGTTTTTATTACATTATATATATATATTTTTTTTGTATTTTGATTTGGTTTTTCTACGGCTCCTTAAATCCTTATTATTTAATATATATAATATTATATATTATACCACACTTGTTATTCAAAATTGAATGTCCGTCAGCAGTAAAATGCGTGTGTGTGTATAAATATCTTATATGTATATAGAGTATACACGTAACAAAATGGCAACACACATAAATAAAACGAAAAACAAAAAGTCCGAATGTATAATTAATGACTAGGATTATACATCAACATATACATATTACATAATATATACATATATTATAATATATGAAACTATATACGCATATATACAGAGTGATCCGTTTAACTGGGTATACTGATTTCCCAAGTCATGTTTTATGTTTGTTTTTTTTTAGTATAAAAATTATTTTATAACATTTTTATGCTATTTTAATAATTACAAAAATGTCTAATTTTTATTTTGATAAAACAAATAAATACAATAAATCATTTTAAAAAACCAATCCAAAACAATCTATAAGTGTTTTTTTTAAATTTATAATCAGATACACGATACTTTTACAAAAATTTAAAATATAAAATTTATATAGAATACTAGACACATTTTTTCCTTTTCAATAATTATAAGCATTTTTAGTCTAAATGAAATTTAAAATTACAGTTTTTCGTAAAGCTATTTATAGTATACTGCAATAACTATATATTATGTAATTTAAAATGGGTTTGTTCCTTATTTGAGTAGGTATCATTATTATGTTTTTCTATCATAACAAATATAAAATGAAAGGATGCTTTTAAGTATATAGTTTTTTTTTTGAATTCCGTTATCTTAAAATTATTATACATTAGATAGGTATGTGAAAAAAAAAAAACCTGTTAACTGAAAAAAATTAAAAAACAATATATTTTTTTACTGTTTTGTATTTAAATATTAAAACCAAATTTAATAGTTATAAGTTATAACTTATAATAAACTGTTTTATGTTGTAAAATGCAAAACATTATTTATAAAACTATGATACTAAAATAATACAAAAATCGCTTTACGATTTTCAAGGTTTTTTTTTTTAGAGTTGGGCCAAAATGTTTTGTCTTATTTTTGGTTAATCTACTATAATATATATAGGGTTGACTTCACGTAAAAATACTATGTTTCTTCAAAAATGCAAATTGTTGACTTGGAAATTTAGTGCCTCCGGTTAAATAGTTTACCATGTAGTATACAATTTATACATTATATAAATGTAATTTGTGTATGTGTGTGTGTGTGTGTATGTGGTATATAATTTCGATTAGTCCATGCAAAGGCTGTGAAATAATACTATACGGCCGATTAAGTTTGAATATAAAATATACGTTGGTGGTGTTGTCGCGTGGGAAGCGTTTTGCATGTTTTGCTCGGCTAGACGCGGGTGGCATCGGAAGGGTTGGCCGGTAAACGAGCTCGATTCATATTTTGATTTATTTATTTATCGTTATTTTTTCAGTAATATTTTTTTCTCTCGCCCTTCCCGAATATACTCGGACCACCCGGCGTCGTTTCCGGGCGCCACAGATAAGTCTCACCGCTTTAACCCAGGCACATAATATAATTGGTCATCCCCCGGAAATAACAGTGTATAATATATTATAATATACCTACAACATGCTGCGCTATATAATTATTATACTCGAACATACATAATATATGTGTTATTATTTTAAACAAAGTTTACGCTCAACGACCTTTATTGTCGTCCACCGCATTGCGTTATCACGGGAGAGCGGGCCAATAAAGTATACCACTAAATGTAAAACGAGGTGGAGAAAAGGGCAAACGTTATAATTTTTTTTTTTTCGGAAAACCTTCCAAAAACTCGTTCATTTTTTCAGCAAAGGTCACATCCGTTTTAGCGTTTGAATTTCAATGAGTTTATTCGGCTTGTGCACCAGTGGCAGATCCCACCTACAACACACGAAATTCAACTGAATTTTATTATATTATTTTTTCGTCCGTTCTATAAAATAATAACAGTTAGTAGTAATTTTAATATTAAATTATAAAAATATTATTATCTGTGACGATCAATGAAATAGTCAATCGAAGTTATGACATTATATATTCACAATGTATCTACATAGTTGTGAATACAAACTTATTACCTAGTAAATAAAATATTGATATGTTTTCCAGTAAAAACAATAATACGATTTTTAGCAGTATCGTACTTACGTCGTTATTTATGAAAATAATATTATAGTTTATAGTGCTTTTATCTCTTAAAAATTTAAAAAATATTTTTTTACCATTAAAAGACATAATATCATATTATACATTAGAAGCAGGTGCGTAGCCAGGATTCATATGTAGGAGGGGTTTTAAAACTGAATATAATTAGATAAAACTTGCAACACTTGCAATTACATAATAATTATTTTAAACGTCATAACTATTTACTAAATCAAGAATAGTTTGAAATCATAGCTACAGAAAAATAATGATTTAATTATAAACAATATTATAGTTATGAATTTATTTAAATCTTAATCAAAATTCTTTACAATGGTGTATATTGCTTAAGAATTTTCGATTACTGAAATACTACAATTTCTAACTGAACAGTAGTGATACAAAAAAAAAAAATAAAGCCGTAATATTGTGAGGGTGAGGTGCATTTCTTTGCAAACAATCCCAGTAAATGTATAACATCATGGTAACATATTATTTAGGCATAATCCGAAAAAGCAAAACGAAAACGTGGTTAGAGTTAAAACAGAGTCCGTAACGTTTTCAACGCCTATGAACCCTTTCAAAAACCCCTTCCATCTGGCTACGTAAATGCATATACAGTTATAGACTAGTAAAAATTCAGATACTAATTATAGCAATCAACGGTGAAATAGTTGTTTCCCTCTATATACATACTTTATTAAAACGTTTTCACACCATTTAGCTTTCATTATAATAATATATTGTACTATGGATGTTCCGTGCTAGCCGACAAATGGTGCATGGTCAATTAAAATTGCATGTTCAACGCATGTTAGATAAATTGCACGACACGCAACGTTTGAATATCACTGTACTTAATAAGAGAAATAAATGGGCATTTTACCAAACCCACTTACGCAAGTCCTTGGCGTGCAATTTTGAATTTAGGCTTGCTAGCTGCATGTAAACACATTTTTATTTTTTAGTTTACAAACAATAATAATATACCTAGTCTACGTTAAAATTCATATTAATTACTACGTGTAAATTATTATTATATAGTGTAGTACACTTCGTGTAAATCATTATAATTTCATTGTAAAATTAAAACTATTTTCATCATCAAAATGCAATATAAACATAATAGTTTCCTAGTCGTAATACTAACATTAATACGTCGAGTATTTGAAATCAAAAAAGTCTACTATTAAGTGTTTTATGATAATATTTCAAAAACAGTTTAATTATTGTGTATCATAATTTCATATTATATAATTGAAATTAAAAAAATTAATTTGTCAAACACGCTTTAATATTATAATTATTAATATTTTGCTTATTACCAGGGACGGATTTACATATGTAGTGGTACCAAAAAAATAAACATACACCGTGTTTTTATTATTAAATTTAATTTGATATTTTAAACTTGCTACTTACTTATTTAATTAATTTACATAATAGTAAATTATAAAAACATTCAAATCGTATAAGTTAAATCATTTGAAGTTACGTTATTTAAATATATATTTCCTTAACATAAATGTAACTTAAATTAATAAAATAGAATAGAAAAAAAATTTTTTTTTTTTTATAAAAATTAATTTTGAATAGAAAAATAGAGTCATATAAGTTAAAATTTATTACATATTCTGTATTTTCCGTCAAACAATTTTAAAACTGTGGATATTCTGGATCTGCAGCTCACTCAGTTACCCCTTCGCTAAATCCGGCCCTGTAAAGTTAATTATCCTGTGAAAGGTTTGAAATACTCGACTTATTATTGTATTTGGTTTATCAGTGCAATAAAACTAATCGTTTTCGTTGTTTTTTTCCCGCATCGAAAATATAGGACTTCACGTTAGATTTCTACTTCAGACAATTCTGGACCGATCCCCGGTTGGCGTTCACTAAACGGCAGGGTGTTGAGACCCTATCTGTGGGATCAGAGTTCATAAAGAACATCTGGGTGCCCGACACGTTCTTCGTCAACGAGAAGCAGTCGTATTTCCATATAGCGACCACCAGCAACGAATTCATCCGGATACACCATTCAGGGAGCATAACGCGGAGCATTCGGTAAATATTACGACTATTAGATTATTATTATTAATTTCATTTTTTTATACATATATATATATATAAGAAAAGCGCAAAAAAAAATAACAATGTTAAAAATGTAGAACGATAACATAAGATTATAGTTTATATACAGTATAATATACAAATGTACAAGCTAAAATGAAAAATTTTATGAGTTCATGGTTTATATTGTACGTAAGCCAGATAATTGTAAAATCGTCGAAATAGTTAGCCTAAGAAATTGAGTTACATAAACGTATTATAATGTTAACGGGTATAAATAGTAAGTATGTCGAAAATTATGAGTGCTAGAAATGTTGGAGAGTCCATTTCATTTTACCAGTTTGAAAATCAGATAGAAATTCAAGACTTGCGGCTTATCTGCGATCAGCAAGATTTAAAATCTTTGCGGAGATGTAATCTAGTCAGATTTTGGGAAAAATATATCAAGAGTATAGATGCAACCACTCGTAGGAATAATCTGTGAACTCTTGTCATGATAAATATACTTACCTACATCATAATATTGTGATTTCAAATCTTCCGATTACAAAAACAGAAAAAACGCATATTATTGTATACACAAAGATACATAAATTATGATTTTCACGCCGTCATAAATAATAATATATATTATAGTCTATAGTAGGTACTTTGAAAGTTATTGTCTATATCATATTATTGGTATATATTACAATTTGCAGTATCTATATATTATATTTATTGGGGTGGTTCTCGTGGTACGTAAGTAACTTTTTTGTTTATGTTATTTCGATATCGTGTTTTCCTTAATGCTTGTAACGATAATATATATTTTGTATGAAAGATTTTAGAACACTACGTGGAACAGTAGGTACAGCGCTGTTTAAAGTCTAGAATATTTCGTTTTCCAGTGAAATTGCAAAAAACTTGTTTTCTTTTAAATCAATTAGATTTTCATATTGTAGTGAGAATAGTTGTATCATAAATGTGTTATACAATATATTATATAATAACTATACAAATAAATATTTATTATTTTTTTTTAAATTATTCAATATTTGTTTATAAAACTGAAAAAATAACATCAAGTATAATTTTGACGTATATTATTAGTATAAGCCATAAGATTTAAAGTTTATTTGAGGAAGTTTTAAATGGGATCAATCGCTCTCGTCATCATCTGCCGCTTAAATACACATTTCAGTGCAACTACGCGAGTATAGGTTATCCGTGTCTAAAATAGATACATATAGTATTTTGAAAATGAGTAATTTTACTATAAAACATACAATAATTGTATCGCCCTACATAATTTTGTACTTGCCGTTCGTAAAGTAACCTTCGTCGTAATACATCGCCTGTAGAAACGTTCAAGTCGTACACGTTTAATGTAATATTATTATACGTATTTCACGAAACAGTTTCGTGCGCATTGGCAAGACAATGATTGAATTATAAATACATACATACTCGGGCCGAACATGTTTAATATATTATGCTACCTACCCAATAGCTAACGTTGTACATATTGTATAATATATTACTACAATATACGGTCCCAGATGAGCGCGAAAATACGATATGTCATGGATGTGTGACGTAACTGATGTATTTTAATGGTAATTTAATACTATTATAGTATACTATATATACTATTATAATAATTGTCGTGATGCGCATTTGTGTACTTCCATACCTGTATAAAATAATGATTGTAATAATACCTATATATATATATATCGTTTTCCATGTTGTGTACAGTTTGACGATCACCGCGTCGTGTCCCATGAACCTGCAGTACTTCCCGATGGACCGACAGTTGTGTCACATCGAAATCGAGAGCTGTAAGTGTCTATGCGTATCAACTTTATACGATGCATCTTTTATTATTTTAAATATTTTATAATCTATCGTTATCGTATGATAACGACAGCAAACAAAAATCTATCTGTACATTTTTTTTTTTCATTTTTTTTTTTTTGTTAATTTCGGTATCCTTCTACCCAGCAGACAGCACTGAGCCACGTGCCCGAGGAGAGAAGGACCAGGCACATTGCACCTAAACTATATTATACAAACAAAAATAAAATAAAGCTACGCTATATAACAATATATTATTATCAATAAACTTTTGCCATACAACCATCACGCGAGTATTATTTTATTAAATGATTCTCTGACGTTTTACAATAATTTACAACGCGCACGCATCACAATATATACCGCATTATATGATTTGTTTTGTTTTTTTACTAAATAATCAATACAGGAAGATCAATTTAACGTAAGACAATCATTATTTGAGAAAACACTAACAGTTTAAAAATATTAAAATAACTTTAAGTCATTAAAATTCAAAGAAGAATATTATTCGAAGTATTCCGATCTATAAAAATCAAATTTTAGACAAGTAGTTCATTGGTTATTATAGTTATTTTAATTCTAGATGAGCAGAGTACTGAATCAATATTTTTTGGTAACGCCCGTTATATTTCTTTATAATATGATAAACTCCGCTCATCTAAACTATAAATTCTTATAACTTATAATAAATAATTTAAAATGCATACTGTCATTAAAAAAAAGTATACAATTTAAAAAATGAAACACAATAAAAAATATAATTATTATACTAGAATTTATGTACATTTATGAACGCATATTTTTTAAATGTTGTTCTTAACGATCGAAATATATGTAAAAATAATATTTCTGAATAACTATGTTAATAATTTTTAAAATAATGAGTGTTTTACGTTAAATGAATCACCGGTATAAAATAACTTTTATTAAATTCGCACACCTAAAAAATATGCTACATACACACACACACATAAGACGATGCTTATATTACGCATACATATTTTATACTTAATAATAATTACAAAAATAACAAGAAAAATTAAATTTCAAATGCTATTTATGTAAAGACTTATCTTAAAATTTTGCGCGCGTCACATTATCATCGTTTGCGTTGCGACGACTTGTGGTGAGTGACGCGCCACGTGCGGCGTTCTGCGCGTACTGATGGTTTTTTGTTTTTCATTTTTTTTTTTTTTTTTTTTTTTTTGTCACGTCATTTCACAGTCGGTTATACGATGCGTGATATCCGGTACAAGTGGAAAAGTGGTTTTAAATCGGTCGGGATTAGCAACCAGGTGCAGTTGCCGCAGTTCCGAATTCTCGGGCACAGGCAGAGGGCCACCGAAATTAACCTATCTACAGGTAGATTATTGACACGCGACCTAACCATCACGCACACGCGACTTTTAATCACGTGATTACACATAATTACAATAAATAACGTATAAAATATTGTATAGATTTTTACTATGTATACATGAACGTAAGATTTACGACGTGTGATCGACACGCGTACCTATACAATTGTATACAATATTAATTGATAGTAATACGCCCAATGTCATAATAATTATGTGATATACAAAATAATATATTAATACATTGTTCGATATTCTGTCGAGCGCGTGCCCGACACGTGATGGGTGGGTCTCTGGCTCCGAAGACAGGTCTAAACGTTAGAGGTGTGCATTTGTAATTTCCCCAGTTGGTTATACGATGAGAGACATCCGATATAAGTGGAATGAGGGACCGAACTCGGTGGGCGTGTCCAACGAAGTGTCCTTGCCTCAGTTTAAAGTGCTGGGACATCGGCAGAGAGCTATGGAAATTAGCCTGACAACAGGTAATGTTTTGAACGAAAAAATATTTCCAACGCAAGTATAATAGTAATAATGAATAAAAATTGTATTGCAACGTAATAGTATTGTTTTTGGTGTTTTGACGTCAACGTATATAATGTTAGAATTATTTGATAATAATACTCAGTTGTAAAATAACGTGCATACAATTATATAATTATGTACGTTATAACAAACTTAAATTTTCAACAACTTTCTGGAAAATGAACTGCCACGTAATTATATTATCATCAACAACAGTAGTAATTGAGTATTCTGCCCTCCTGAAAAAACGCAGTACATGGCAAATTTGGAAAGAAAAAATTGAAGACATTTCATGTTTTTTCGACTAAATGACCACCACCATTAGCCTACCACCATAAAATGCAGTTTGTGTGACATATCCTGTGATATAATTAAAAGTATTTTTGTAAAATTAACTTTTTTCAAATCTTATATTGTTTACTTGATATTATTTACAATGATTCTTTTTGCTATAACATTAATTTACAGTATTCACACGCACTAATGAATCAAAACACATACTTGAATATCTAATTAGATACAATTAGTACTTATCAAACATATATATTAAATCATTAATTCGTTATCTACACTTATGAGTATATTGGTTAATGGCAAATCACATTTTACTGTTACAGAGCTACTGCAAAAAAATATTTGGTTAACGTATTATATTAGAATATTGAAATAGTAAATATCACTGAAAATCTTAATTTAATATATAATATATATTATGTATCGATATCACTTATTATTAACAACTCCCACATTATGATTTGCAAAAAACAGCGAAAAGAATATTTTTAAATTAGAAAACGTATATATCAAAAAATTGTTTTTCCGACAACGTTGATTTATGGAGATGTATTTCGTTCTATTTAGGAGGGCAGTAATCAATTTATATAACCGATAGTCTTAGTAGGGTATACGTTACAGTGCCGTCATATTTTATAATATAGCTATATAAGCCACAAAAAATGGTAGTAGTCAGGGCTCGAGATCGGTTAATCGAAAACCTCTTAAAACCTTGGTTTTTTTTATTTAGCATCACCGAAACCGCAACTAAAATTAAACGCTTAAAAAACATAGTTAAACCATTACTTAAACCCAAAAACTGAAAAACTGTTTACAAAACTTAAGAATTAAAAAAAAAAACTTCTCATAAAACCAAAAACGTTTAAAGTGAAAAGTGAAAACTCATATTGGTTGATTCCAATGTTTTAAAAGTTAATTGCAAATTATTACTTTTACAATTTTAATTAAAATAAGTAATTTTATAAGAAGTAAATACTATTTGTATTTGAATTTATTAATAAAAATCTTTATTATGTAACGAAGTAAAATGTATTTATTATATTTCTGTTATTACTATCATTACGATAACAATATCACGAAGGTTTTATATCACTACATTTAACTGTGGTTATTTTAGATATTTCTCTGTAAGCCTAAAGGTCACAGACCCCAGTATAGGCACTAAATATAGTATATTTCTGTCCCTCTACCCTACAACTGAATTATTATGCATATTTTGTGTTTTGTTAATATTTACTATGAACATAATATTATAATATAGCATTTTAAAGTTTGAGATAATAAATCTTTTATAAATAATAAATATCTAATCTATAGTGATTACTACCTTATTAAGAACAAGGATCAAAAAACCCAAACCAAAACTAAAATATCGAAAAAACCATTCTTGAAACCAAAACTAAAAAATATCAAATACTGATATTCACATAAAAATTTCAAAATCCGTACTTTCAAATCGATTTAAACCTGATTAATTTTAAAACGGTTTCGAGCCCTGGTCATAGAACATTTTTAACTATACCCGAATCCAACTTGCACGTCCATTATGCTAATTATACGCTATACAGGTAACTATTCGAGGTTGGCTTGCGAGATCCAATTCGTGCGATCCATGGGCTACTATCTAATCCAAATCTACATACCCAGCGGACTGATCGTCATCATATCTTGGGTGAGCTTTTGGCTGAACCGAAATGCCACGCCAGCCAGAGTGGCGTTGGGCGTCACCACTGTGTTGACCATGACCACGCTCATGTCTTCTACAAACGCAGCACTGCCGAAGATATCGTACGTGAAATCGATCGACGTGTACTTGGGCACGTGTTTCGTCATGGTGTTCGCTTCGCTGTTGGGTTAGTGTGCAAAACGACTGTTATCGTTTTTATTGTGTAATACGTTAACGGCATTTTAATGACTGTAACTAGCCGTTTTTCTCAAAAAATGAGATACAGTATTCATTTACTACTTTTCCCCGCTGTCCGTTTACCATCGCATTAAAAATGAGAAATTGTCGCCCTTTTTATTTATTTGAATAGGTACTTACAATTTTTCAATTTATTTTTATATAAAGGTAAAAATATCAAATATGAATTAAATTAAAATTAAAAACCGTTATGATAAAGTTTAGTATTAAATTAGTTTTTATAATAATTTAGAATTACTATACAACAACTTAAAGCTATGCCAATTACGTATATACGATTTTCAATTATATTTTATGATACCTTATACCACCTAATGCCGTAAAACATTATTCGTTTTTGACAGAGTACGCTACTGTCGGGTATATGGCGAAGAGGATACAGATGAGAAAAAATCGTTTTCTTGCCATACAAAAGATCGCTGAACAGAAGAAAGGCGGCCATGACACACTCGGCCACGTGCATTCTCATCAACAGCCGCGCTCCAGTCATGGAAACATGTCCGGTCACAGTACGATGTCCGGCCACAATACGCTTTCCGGCCACAATACGCTCTCCGGCCATAATACACTCTCTGGCCACGGTACGCTGTCACACGGCTTGTCTAGTCACGGCTTGCCATCTTCCCACGGGACGATGGCGGGTTATGGTGGACACGACAGCCACTCTCGGCACAGTCATGGCGGCCACGGTGGTCACAGCGGCCAACTCCTTTCTGGGGACATGGATCACCTGCCCAGACAAGCTGTAAGTGTCTTTGTGCCAAGTGATTTTTTAACCGGAAAAAGATAGGTTCTATTAAATGACTGCTGCCATATTTTTCCTGAGTCAAATATATTCCTGACAAGATTAATTTTACGGTTAAAGTTCTAAAATGTTTGATACAGCGAGTAACAAAAATACATATTGTTTAAATATAAACATAGTTTTGCTGTAATTGAGTAATATAATATGCTTCAATACAATGTGTGTAGCATAGTGGTCTATTACAAGTTCAATAAGTCTATAATAAAGTTTAAAATTTCATTTTTTTAAACAAAAATTATTGATAAACATTACCATATATTTAGGTAGGTATATACTTGTAATTTTACGTTACACGTCCATTAAATAAAAGGTTTTTCTGCTTTTAGCTTAATATATACTCTAGTTATGAACTGCTCCAAGTTATAAATAAAAAAAATGTCTTAAAATATTATAATTAGTTGTATAATTATTTTGGTTCTCACAATTTTTATCATGTAAGGCTATTTATAAAGAAAATTAATGATAAATTTCCAATGTTTTCTGAATCTTATACTTAAACTAAAATTTGAACACATACGAATAACGCATAATGCATTTAATTACAATTGTGTACACCCCCTTTCCCAGAAACATATAATGAAGTATTCATTTTGAGATCTACAATCATTGTTGTAACAACATCACTGTAAGGTTTCTCATTGGTTCCAGAATGTGCGCTTCAAGGCTCACGATTCAAAGAACTATCTCAAGGGTGGATCACTGGAAAACACTATCAACGGTCGCGGGGACGACGACGGCAACATTACCCCATTGCAACCGCAACACGTCATGCACCCCAACAAGGACATCAATAAGCTGTACGGAATAACGCCCAGTGACATTGACAAGTACTCAAGAATTGTGTTTCCGGTGTGCTTCGTGTGCTTTAATCTTATGTACTGGATCATTTACCTACACATCAGCGACGTGGTGGCCGACGACCTAGTGCTGCTCGAGGCGGACAAGTAGACTTATTCATAAATTTGCGCCACACCGATGATAACGACATCAATGACTTGATAATATATTTATATTATAATACAATACTATTATAAAATATAAAATTTTTATCTAGGTTTAGTATAAGAGCTCAACTACAAAAAATACTGCATCCCGAGTATATTAAATTATTATTATTATTATTATTATTATAGTAATTATTGTACGATTATAACATTATTATTAAATGATTATTAGGGCCGAGAATTATATGCCCTAAAAACTAACTAAACAATATTCATGATGATATGCCCTAAAAATTAACAAATTATGCCCAAAAATATGCTCTAAGAAAAAAGTAAATTCTAATGTAGTTATATGAAAATATTTTAATACCAACGTTTGATATTAAATTAATTACTTTTTGAATACCTTGATTTTTACCTATGATATCTAATGATAAAAATGTGATCTTTAAAATAAAAATGGTAAATAAATTTCTAATGTTTAATGTCAAAAAAAAATTCACTTATTAATTAATAATATTTCTTTAAAAAACGGATTAAGTTTTACTTTTTTTGAGCCTGAAAATCAAACACAATGTTTGTTATTTTCTAAAATGTAAAAAATATTAAAATTTTAGTAGGTAATTTATTCTAGAAAAATCTAAATTATACATTAAAGTTTAAAATTGGATGAAATTCAAAAATATTCCCTATGCAATATAAACCACAAACACATTTTGGTATAAAACTATAAACCAGCTATTTGTTTCCTTAACCAACAAAAATACATTAAAAATCATAATAAAATGTACCCTAGTCATACCAACATAAATTAATATAGGTACCTATAGACAGAATTTTCTTCTTTATTTTATCTGCAGGGTCTTTCGCGTGATCAAATCTCTATTTTATCACTCTAATTAATACAAAAAGAGTCCACGAATTCAACCCCAAAAAAAAGTCGGCTACGAAATAAAACAAAACAAAATAAATGTCTTAACAAAAATACCGTCTCAAAAAATACTTTGAAATCCTCTTTCCGAAAACATTCCGTCTATAAAATAAAAACATGTATTGCGATTTAAAATAGTAAAACGACTATCTAAATTATTATTATACAACTAAAAACTTTATTCTAATCTGACCTAACTATTCGACCGTTGTCATGATAATAATTATAATAACTATATCTCAACATTTCACAACGGCCAACCGATATTTCGTTTTTAAGAGGCATTTATCACGTGATTCGAATTGACTGCGGTTATTTTCCGTCTCTCAGAATAAAATATTTTTCAAATAAAATTCAAAATAGTACCTACATTAGTAGCATTATTATTATTACTACGACAATATAGGCTATATAGCTCTGGAGTAGCGGTTGTCACGTCAAGTTTTCGAATTTCGATATATCATAACGTTATATCAATATTATATTTTCGTAGCAACGCGTGATTTAATAAACCATTAACTACAGTGCTCAATCATCGTTTTTATGTTCGATATTAAATCGTGATATTCACACTTACTTATGATAACAATAATTGTTATCATATAGCTGTTAATATTCCTAATCCATTCTCAAAAATGGTGTATACCTGGGCGTTTATTTGGCGGCGTATTTCTCATCCCACCCTACAAATTTACTTATAAATTTATTTTTAATTCCAGCTGAATTTTATTCTTATTTTCTGTAAATTTTCAACTCCTAAAAATTATATGCTTCCATTGCTTGTTGTAAATTTAAAAAAAAAAAACATTAAAAATGCCTAAAATTTTTTTATGAAAATAAGATTTGTTTGTTACTATAAATTTGTATTTATTTAATTAAAAATATATAATTTGTACAGATTCGAAGTTATGATACTATTATAAATAACCCAAATTTCGATTAGAACTTAAAAATAATTGTTTTTATTCATGACACCCTCCGCCTGATCGTTTCAAAAAGGTTCTAATTCCACTCTACTAGCTGTATATAACATAGGTACATTATCCAAGTAATATTATTTTACATCTATTACTCATACGAAAAAAGATCGGCGGATCGACACGAAACACGAGCGTTGTCTTAAATCTCAAAAATAATATTATAATTCTAATTTATTATGTTAAGTCCCCCTAATGCACGATAAAAGCGCACACAAAATATGTTCTACGATGATATTAAGTTTGTAGTTATGTAGTATTATAGTGATATGATTTATCAACGCATTTTAAATTTTCGGTCCCTTTATTATTATTATTATTATTATTATTATTGTTAAGTGTAAACATTATAATGAAAACGACGATGATTGTTATTATTATTTGATATTAAACAAAACGAAAATGAATAAAATTATAAGGTTTTTGTAGCGTTTTATATACTGGAAAAAGAGAAAAAAATTTGAAAATAATAACTACCACAAAATTAATTTGATATCTCCATAATGATATAATGTGTAAATATAATATTACATATTTGAAATTATAAAATATAACATTATGATATTATACATAAATGATATGAAATAATATAGTGTACGTGTTTCGGAGTCGATTTCATTGTCGACGAATGTAATATCGCTCATTCGATGATTTTATGGCACACGTTGCATCGATTATGTTATACTATACTATAATACGTATGTATTAGATAGTAGATTATAATATTATCGATAAGACGAAAACAAAATTAAACACATTTTTAACAGTAAATACAATTCAATTATTATTATTAATATATATTATTATATTTATTATTGTCGTTTCGTGTTATTGCGATTTTCATTTTCAGCCGTTATAGTGAACACAATTTTGATTTCTTGAAATTATTTTTATAAGCAAAAAACTATATATATATTATATTATTCCATAATACGATTAATGAATAATGAATAATAAATGCGCGTGTACAAAAAAAAAAAATTGATGATATAAATAACGAAATAATAACAATATGAATAAATTGTTATACAATTGATCAATATTATATTCTATTATGATTAAAATTAAAAATGCAAATCGACATATTTATTTTATGTAAATATGACGTATATGATATTAAGACGAAATATATCTATTTTTTTTTTTACATTTTCAGTGATATCGTCGCGTGCCCAATGTGTCATGTGTCATGAAACCCATTCGAGAAATCTAGACAATATCTCAATAATATATGCAGTGACGTGGCCAAGAATTTTCTTTTTTTGAGTGAGGGGGTACGCTATTAGTATCCTTAACATGTAATTGGTATTATGACGCCTTAGATGTACAACATTTTTTAACTATCTTCATATAAATTACGATTTTAATATTTTGACACGTAATATAAGTTCACAAAACACTAGGCAATTTAAAATGTATCTGGAATTTCCAGAATTACTGCATCCCCTTCAACTTCCCACCTCTTGGCTACGTCACAGACTATTCTTGATATTGACTCCCTGCTACGCTATATCTCATGTGTACGATACACGTTTTTGCAATAACATTATTGGGGGGTTTGAGATTAGTCGATTTTCGGCCGAAGTGTCGCCGGCACGATGATGTATCGCATCAGCTGCACTTCCGTTTCTTAGCTAAAAAAGTAACGTATCAAAAAATGTGTAAAATTATAACGGAAATCATACAAAAACGATTAATGTATTTATAATAGTAAGGGACATAACAGTGACGAATCAGTATACCCATTATATAATATCATTATATTATTTAAACGCTATAAAATAATATAAGTAGGTATATAATATTCTAACTCCGTAGACGACATCACTGTAATATTATTGTTATTATTATTATTATTATTATTATTATTATTATTATTATTATTATTATGACCGTTATAGGCCTATGCGATTTGATTTATTTTACGTACACTTTTTAAAAGCACTTTCAACTAATTGTGATTCGCACATTTTAACGATATTAAATATAAAAAAAAAAATAAATATCAAATCAATGCTGCGTATACTAGAATGTGTAATAAGCATAATTTATACGTTTGTACGTACGTCGTATAAAATAATATTATACTTGTATTTATGCATTGACGTAAAAAAAAAAAATTTGACTTCCTTAGAATTAATAACGTATGAAAATAATAATAATAATATAATACAAATTAATTAAACGATAAACGGTAGTTGTTTTAAAGTGTACAAATAACTACCATCGGATATTCTAAATCTTGTATTAGGTTAATGTGAATCTATAAGAAAAAATATTGTTATAATTTTAAGTTTGTATGTGTAGTTTATTGTCACAAGTTGTTTTTGTTCGTTCCGATATTGATAATTACTGTTTATTATATTGTATTATTATTATTACCTTATATTCACTTATTTACCACCTGATTGTATTTTCCGTTAGACAAAACGTAATATTACATTATTATGTTTTACCTTCGCGAAAAAAAAAATTGTGTCGATGAGAAAAAGAACACTATAAAGTCTAATTATTATTATTATTATTATTATTATTATTATTATTATTATTATTATTATCTATTTGGGTGCTTCCGTTCTCTGTGTTAGCAAACATAATACATATATTATTATGTAAAACGACATAAATGTACTTATGCGCTTACACATATTTATTGAACGCATATTATTGTATGCATGTGTTTATGTGTACACGTATATAGTATTATATTATGTATATTATTATTATTGTTTATATTGTTTACGTGTCGGTGGTAATATTATTTTAAGTTATACATAATATAAAATATAAATGTATAATAATATAATATATACGTTTAAGTACTATATAATTACATATAATAATATGTATATCTGCAGTGTACGATAAATTATAGTCTACTAAATCTCACTGAGCTCAATAAATAAAGTGAAGCGAACCAAAAAGTCGCCAAGAGCGAATGAGTATTTTTCTTTGCGTCATCGTCGTTGCTGTTCCTTTTACCCTGCAACAATTTTCTCAGTCCATATCATAGGTGCGTTGTCATATAGAGTAATCGGCACTTTGGATTCCAGAGCCACAAAATCTATGATTTTATTACTTATAGTAAATTTATCATAATTATTAAATTGTTTAAAATAGAATAATAAATTTATACTATGGCTGGCTTGGCAAAAACGATAAAAAGTTATTTCAAGTCGCATTAGTAAAATATGTTAGTTGTACCGATTTCAATTGGTCCGCATGAAGAAGTTTTTTTTTCATATGCAATAGAGTTGTGGAATTGCGTTTCACAGTAAAATCCCTAAATAGATCGATTAGCTATAAATTCAATAATGAATTGAAACGATTGTGTCAGCTTTTCGCTGCACATAGTTATGTGTAGAATATCTTTTCCAACTGAAAAATGTAATTTCTAAATTAAAATTGAAAATCGTAACGATATCTTTGGATTCATCCTTTCATGTTAAAACAAACAATACGTCTATACCTATATAATAAAATTAATATTATATAATATCCAGCAGTAATTATTACTATCGTCTCATAATTATTTAAATATTTAGGTAAAATAAATCTCATT